GTCAAATTCTCATTTCTTGTTGGTTTCATTTAAGATGTGTGGATATGTTTTTGGCCAGGTGGTGTCATTAAAATTCATGGCTTTTGAGTGGATCATATCCTAAATACATTTGTTTCTGTAGTGAAGCTCCTAAATATCGTTACTTTATTGGTTTGGTGTTTTTTTTGGCGAAGCCTCAAAAACCAATGCCATTTTAATATATGTCCCCATAATAGAGTAGTTTTTGTTACTGTTGAATTTAGAAGTGTCAATTTCATTTTTAGATGCTTTTTGTTAGTTTGAATCCATTTATCCTGTTTCTTGCTATTTGCAGTCTCTTTTTATTTAGAAATAGAGTAATATTATTTAATTTCAATATCTTATTTACGATATGAAATGAGTTTATATTAAGCTTGAATATAATATATTTTGTTTCTTAATTCAATGTAGGTGTTAGGCAAGATTGTAGAACTCGTTACTCGGTACCTGTTCGGCCAACTACCGAGTAGCGAGTACTCAAGAGTACTCGGGGAGTACTCAGGAGAACTCGGGAGTACTCGGATTTGGTAATTTGTGTAGAAATATTTTTAGGGAAATTACATATGTCAAAATCATAAGTTAAAATCATAAACTTATTGAAATATATAACAAAACTAGATACATGTGAATACACAAAAACTACAAAAACACATAATGGTCTCATTTCGTAAATAATTACTGAAAATTTAAGATATATATATATATATATATATATATATATATATATATATATATATATAATCACATGTGTGTTAAATAATAAATCATTAAGTATATTATACATATTAATCACCAAGTTGACCAAGTTTTACAACACTGCTCAGTTCAATAAGGGGCCGATCGGAGAGGACTCGGGATTCTGTAACTCACCTTGTTAAGGGGCCGAGTAGCAAGTACTCGGAGGAGTAATCGGCCGACTCGGCAAGTTTTACAACACTGGTATTAGGTATGATGATGGTATTAGTTAACATGGAAAAAAGAAGTTTATGTGTATCATCGGGCTTTCTCATTATACATCCTTTTGTAAACTTGTTCAAGGTTAGTTTTGGAATAAATTATTTTTATGTTCATATTTTCAATACATTATCCTATTTTTTAGCATCATAGTAAGAAATATCTACACATTTATAGGTATTGGTTTATTATATTATTTAGATGTGAATTTAAATATTATTTTTACCAAAGTACATATATTTTATCTATCTTGCCTATGTGCTTAATTCTTTTAAGGAAAAGATGTTCGTTCAAAATGTTGAGTGCGTATTTGAATTAAGCGCGACAAAAATACTTGTTTTGTGTTTAGTTTAACATTGTAAAGCTCTTGAGTTGATTTATGGATGATATGCTTGCATGTTTTATGTGATACATTTTTGTTTTATGATAGGCAATTGTTCGTAAATCGGATATACAAGAGTAACTGTGGAAAGTTCGAGGTCATTATCAAGTTTCATGTTTCTTCTGCAACAAAGATTTAGTTTGATACTTTTATGCTTTTAGTACTTATACAACGTTTAGACATATTAAACTTTTTTTTGAAGACAATTGTGTTTTAAATGTATTTAGAGTATAATTTTTGGATAAGTTTGAATTGATGTAATGATATTTTGTTGTTTTATCTTAATCATCCTATTATTATTTTAAATTCCATTTAAACTAAAAAATAGGATCTAATTTATTAATATAAGTTTTTTATGTTAAAAAAAGTGTCACTAATAACATTAGAATAATGATGGTTTTTGTAGTTAAATAGTGGCATGAAAGTAATGTCACTAAAACATATAAGTTCTTTAGTGACATAATCGAACAGAGCCACTAAAACCTAATTAGGCTGCAGCGGCACAAATGCCACTAAAGGTCTTTAGTGGCACTTTTTTTGTGTCATTGATTGTCAGGGGGGTCTTTAATGACACTTTTTCGGTTTTTAGTGGCACTTTTTATGTGCCACTAAATGTCATTTATTGGTAGTGATATGGTATCGGTGTCAATGATGATTTTGAATAGTTGTTAGAGGCAATCAAAACCAACTTATATACTTACTATATGTTCTCTTACATTGATTTTTTGCAAAGCTGATACATATCATTGTCAGCAACAAATGAATTGATAGTTCATTTGATGAACTCCTTGAGTTGTTGAATTCTACATTTCTACAAGACAATAAGGTTCCCCGCACTACTAGAAAAACAGCCTTTTACGACGCTCATTGCGTGTCGTAAATGGCTCAGACGACGCCCAAATGCGCGTCAAGGAAGGCCCTGTCATAAAGAGAGACGACGCGCATTTACGACGCTCATTTACGACGCGCAGTTACGACGCGCCTTTACGACACGCAATGCATCTCAAGGAAGACCCTGTCATAAAGGAAGACAACACGCATTCGCGTGCCGTAACCTTACGACGCGCGTGTTAATGACACGCAATGCGTATCAAGAAAGACCCTGTCAAGAAAGGTCATGTCATAAATGAAGATAACACACATTTTTGCGTATCATAATTTTAAATGTTTAAAAAAATATATTTTTTATAGATTTACTAATTTTCAAATTAAATTTACATTTAAAGCATCATAATAGAAAATAAAATATCATATACAAAATATATAATCCATTTCATAAAATTTAATATCATACAAAAATAGAATCCATTGCATAATATTTTATTACAAATTTAACATTTTTTTGTTTCCGTACTTTGACAATTTGTGCTGCTGCTGATTCCGGAACCAATCTACAACTGCATTCCAGAGCTGATTCAGTGGAAAGAGCATCCCAGACTCCATCACTTGAAATTACAAGCCGCCCACAAGCAGAAGATAGCTGAAGATCATGAATAAATAAAAGTTGTTAATAAAAAGAGGAATAAATTGAGTTTAATTACTAATCACCAACACTCAAACCAATTAATGAAAGTTAAAGCATCTAAATAATATAGCATGGGATGCAAATATATCATGCATCGTACAAACAATGAAGATTTTTAGTTTCTGGAAGATTATTGACATCATTGGGATTAAGAGTTTTCTTTGCTTATCCACTGCACCTCATATGTTTCCATCACATTTGAAGGATTATAATGCTACATAGCTCTATTAAAGACGCTGAAATATCTCTCTATTGTTATGCATGAAATCAAGACATATGATCTTCTAATACTAGAAAACAAGAGCTATTCGGAATAATAAAGCTACATACCTGAGTTTGCAAGAGGTATCGCAAGGTGCTGCCGACTCAAAACCAAGCAGCCTTAGGCACTTATCAAGGACTGAACTGAGGATGCACATCTGATAGAAAAAAGTTAAAAGTATAATTACAAGGATTAATAAAAGTTATTCTTCAATAATGAGTTTATAAGGAGTTTCAAGATTTTATGACTCTTTTCAGCATCTGTAAAAAGTTTCTCAATTGTAATAGCAGTACTTCTGTTGAATATGTAATGGGTGATATTCGCAGTTGTACCTGTCCCTTGTTCACCAAGGAAAACATAAGAACTAAGGGAGAAGAAAATAGGGATTAGAATAGCAGAAACAAGAAAAAACAGAGGAACAATATTGGTTGGTGCTATAGATAACTTAACTGAATAAAACTTGGTTCTTAACATATTAAAAGGACAACGGTTACACCTATATATGCTAAATAAGATAGCATCCAAATATAACTTGAGGGGCAGACACAAGAATTTTCAACAATAGTGGCACCAAAGCCTGTAACAACAAAAAAGATAACATCAAGGCTTATCTAAAAGAAAACCAAATAAGCTCAATACACTTTAATAGCAACATGATAGAAGCATATGGCAGTAGAACTAATCAGGTTATGTATAAAACTAGATACATATATATTATACATAGATATAAATATAGGGAAATAATTTACATACGTGAACAACATCATTCCTTTGCTTCCTACGTTTTTGAGAGGCCTGAACTTGCAACTGGAGTTCCCTTATTGCATTAAGTATTTCTGCAAAGAATTTCCTCTTCCTCGTTTCTACTCTATTCTTTTCTTCCTCCTCTAATTTTGTTAGTCTGTGCAGCAAATGATGTTAAAAGAAGAATAAGTATTAAACTAATAACTTCTTTTTTCCAAAAGCATACAAAGAAAATTCATAAACTTTTATCAACTAGTCAAAGAAAATATCCATCAAGATTCAAGATTTACCTCAGCATCTCGTTTCTTCTTTTATCAACTTTTATCAACTAGATGAAAGTACACAGTTGTTTCTTGCATTTAACCCATTAAATGTTAATCTTTAGATACAAAAGAGAATATGGAAAAGCAAGATGTTATAAACTACAGTCTACCTTAAGTCCATAGAGTTCAAGCAAACACTTTGACTGAAGGTCTTCACCTATGCTTGTAGGTAATTCTAAATTCATGATAAAGAAACAAATGAGTAAAGTTAAATGATATCTACTAACAACTTCACCTGCCAGTAAATAAAATGTTAAAGTATAATACATATGCTTCTTATGGCAACCTTCAAGTTGTGTCAAACGATTTTGGATGTGGCTCTCGATCCATTTTTTCCTTGTTTTTGCCATTTCAGAACCAGTTATGTGATTAGATCGATGTTTGACCAAAGCCTCCTCAAGGTCTGCCATTAAATCTCCTCTATTTGGAAATGGAGAGTTATTCTTTAACGATATCAAAAAGTTAGGCAAACACACCATGTAATAGTTATAAGTAGAACATATTTTACTCGGTAAATTCTCCTAAACATGAACAGTAGACCATAGGTCTAAAACTGAAACTGAAATTACTTATCCATTGAACACAGGGCCGGCCCTGAGATTTAGGGGGCCCTGTACAAATTAGGAAAAATAGGCCCTAAGACTGATAAAATATAAAATAATATAAAACAAAAATATGTAGTTTTTCATTCCATGTCATAATGAACCACACACAGGTCAAAAGCTACAAGGCAGTTCACGTAGACAAATAGAAAAGTTGAATTCAACTAGAGAGAATTGCAAGAACAGGTAAACCACTGCTATCTTCAATGCTCATAATGGTTTCTACACATTCATAAAGTATTGCATTCCCTGCATTCTTGTTTGACTCAGTTTTTGTTGCCACCTACACAAGGAATTTCTTAAATTCTTATAATTTTGAATTATATATCACAATTCACAATGAGCTTTATTAAAATAAAAGCTAACCTAGGCAAGAATGTGATTCATGGAATCACTAGCATCAGCATCTCCATGGCCCAAAACACGCAAAAGGCGAAGCAGTCTTATATGAAGAAAAGGGTCTGCAATACCTGAAACATCATATTCAGGAGCATATGGGTTGTTGACAACATCCTTCAAAACTTTCACCAACACCTCTGTGCATTTCTATACCAATGGAAGAAAAAAGAAAATATATCTCATCACTAAAATTACTAATTTGCACTTATAGAATCATATGTCAAACAGTTCTTAGCGCAAATACACAGTAAAAAGATAAAGAAAGAGAACAAGAACTAAAGGAAGACAATCCCAACAAATAATAGAGGATCTTTAACAAGATCAAGTATATTTACCTTCCTAAAAATTTCAAGAGCCTCTTCATTAAGGTTACAGAGATCTGTACAGAGCTGGATTGCTATTAAAAGAACCCCATGATGTTTTTCTTTAAGTAAGGAAACAACAGGGTTGACAAGATTTTCTGCAAGGTTAGGGACCTTCTTTACAATCCTTATTAAGCACAATGTTGCCTGTAAATTGTAAGAACTTATGTGAGTATGATTCTTCATATGAAATGTGAGAATTAGATGAAACATCCTTGAGAGATCATGAAATGAAATAAATGTTAACATCAGCTTACTTTCTTTTGAATATTTGGATCTCGAAATTGCAGCAATCTTTCAACTTCAGGTGCAAGATCACGAGCCATTTCTGCAGAACATGTATTACCCAAAGCACAAAGAGCTAGTCCCACAATGTACTGATTGGTGTGGTTAAGATCTCTGCAGATGATGAAAAAAAAGATTCTCAAGTCAACCATGTTGCTTGAACACAAGATACAGGAAAGATAAGAGTGAAGAAGCACATTCTTTTCTAACAGCAGCACGCTCTTCTGCAGCAGTTTTGCAGGCTCGTATTGCCCTAATAATGTCCCTGCAATATACCAATAATGTTTCATTTACAGTTTCAGACCCAACTAATTAACAACAAATTACGCATGTGGTATGAAATGTAGTCAAATCTTTTGCAGGTGAAGGATAAACCAAAAAGATGGAAAATCTTAAGTAGAGAGACATATGGTTTGCGAGGGATGGTTCATGACAGAGTTCACGGATTATCTTCAAACCCAGATTAGGATCTTATAAGTTAGTGACAGTGTCTTACTCATTTGAGTGACCCATCCAATCGGGAAATACATGGATGAATTCCATTAAATGTACGCAAATCAAATGCCCCAACTATTACGAACGCGAACTAACTCTCAATATAGACAACTTGAGATAACGTTAATACAAATTAGGTCGAAATGAAGAACTAGTTCAAAATTGATCACAAGGAAAAGCTTTAAAACATAAGATCAATTGTAAACAAGCAACTCACCTTAGACGCGTCCCAGACGAAAAGGGCTTCATGATTAGGTCGGTTTTGAAACCGCGAGAGAGCTCGATCAGATCCTGAGATGTTTAGTGAAAAAATGAACTATATAACCGGGTTGTAGACCGGTGACTGCAATTATATGTATGTTTGATCAAATCGAGATCTGGGGAAAGGTCAATTACGAGGATCTGAAGAGGAATTTGAGATCTGTAACCTATGGATGCTAATGCAAACGTGATGATGATGACCAAAAATCTTGATTTCTCTCGCTAAATTCTTAGTTCAATCCGAGCTAGGGCTTGTAAGGCCCTAAATCGTCGGCGCTGTGTGGGATGAGAAGCGGTAAGGTCCTAAATCGTCGGCTCTAGGATATAAGTAGATGGAGCATGTAAGTTCTTCACACTTTCAAGCATAATTGTAACCCAATCGTCGGCTCAAGCATAATTGTAACCCAATCATAGTCACTCAACGCGAAAATATGCAATTTTGGAATGGCGGAACTCTATGGCGAAACCGATAGCACCTTGTACGCTTTCGGAGTTGTACTTCTTGAGATATTGTCAGGCGAAGAAGGCAAGTGACGAATGAAGGAAGGAGTGTCGATAACTAGGCAAGGCAGCAGTCGAATCTATGGAGGGGGAAGAAAGGATCGTAGTTAGGGCAAGAAGGAAACAAAAGTGGAGGATAAAAAAAAAAGGCGGGTGTTCAAAATTTTTGGGATTTCATTTTCCCCCTATCTACTAAACGCGCTTTTCATTAAAATTATAAAGCGACATTCATAGAGGACGCCCATTTAAGATACAGCGCCCTCCGTGTTTTTAATTTTTTCTCGTATGACGCTAATTCAAGGGTACGCAATAATGCGTGACCTAAATCCTTAAATTTTTTGAAGAGATGAGGCTTTTTTAACGTCACTCTCCATTGCGTAACATAAATCAATGAGTGTCGTGGTTTGCGCGTCGTAAAAGGCTATTTTTCTTGTAGTGCCGTTGATATTTTCTAGCCAAAACGAAAGTAAAGAAGATAGGTTTCACGTATGAGTCAATACATGTATGCATAAATGATTGTTTTTTATTCTGGAAGGAACACAAGTCATTGCAGATTTTTTCCATTTGTAAAGAGAGTCGGTGGATTTATAAAAACACCATGGATAAGAAGGTAGCTCATAAGTTGTTACGGTACTTTCTAGTGACCCCTAGATAATGACATTGTATTGTTCAAAGTACACTTCCAAAAATATGATATGACATATTACCGGGAGAACAAAAGTTGGTGTGATGCATCATCCCGTTGATGGAAGTACCTGAGACCATAAACATAAACTCTAAGCACAATGCTTAGTGAATTTCCTCAAAATACCCCATATAATACATATATAATAGTAAAAAACATAACTGCATCTATTTCACCCCCCTTCAGTCTCTTTCAACCAATATTGGGTCTATTTTACCCCCCTTCAGTCTCTTTCAATCGGTACTGGGTCTATTTCACCCCCCTTTCAGTCTCTTTCAACCGGTACTAGGTGTATTTCACCCCTATAGTATCTTTCAACTGGTATCGAGTCTATTTCACCCTGTACAGCTAGCATACAATCATACCAGCAAGAGTCACAGACACAAGAAGCATATACAGGCATAATAGTAATTTTCACGAAGACATCTATCATGCTACAAACATAATCCATGTGAAACATTAGTGCCTTTGACTCATGAGTACAGTGAAGGAACTCACCTCAGTCTGAAGATAGCTAAATCACACTCCCTGGCTTCTGCTACTTTGGCTCCTCCCACTAAACATTCCAATTAACCTTAATCATTACTCAGGGTAATAACCCATGACTGGTTCGGATATCCTCTTACATGCCAAGGGGTAAAAGATCATTTTACCCATTTCTCTAATGGCCCCTTCAATCCATGGCTTAAGTCCAAGGGTCCTAAGGCTTAACTGTGGCTGAAAGCCCAAGGCCCATGGCCACCAAAATGATCCCTGGTGAGTATGCTCAGTGTACCACCTACATATGGCCGACATACTACTTTGTAACAAGGAAGATCATGAATTCAACCATGTATGCTCGACGTACACTTAGGTACTCTCGACATATGCCCTATCCAAAAAAGACTTCATTAAGCACTTAATGCTTCAAGTCCAACAACCATCTTTCAGATCTAGATCTTTAGGGGCATCTTAAACAATAAAGTTACCATCTTGATACCTTTGTATGGCTCAAGGAGACTCAAACCCTAGATTTAGCATTCTACTTTCATCAAATAATCAGTAACTCATTCATGGTTGGTCTAAAATCATCAAGATGCAAAAATTATGGACTAAGGACCTTAGAAACATCAAAGGAGACATCTCATAACTTTTGGAATAACATTTACTCACAAGAACTCATTCATGGCACCAAAATATCGTAAAATCTCAACTAATTCTAGATTTAGACATAAGATAAGCAAGATCAAGACTTTATACCTCCAATAAGCAGAAAAGAGTGATTAAACCCTAGATCTACAAGCTGCAACTTTTTCAGTGTTCCTCTACATGAATTCTTCTTCTTCAATATGCACCATACACACACACACACAAGCGTCAATATCTTGAGAAATAGGTAAGGGTTTTGAGATTGTACTTAAAAGGGGCAATAGAGGCTGATAAGGAGAGAGCCTTAGGACATAAGGTGTTTAAATAGGGTGCCAAAACTTAAAATTAGGGTTTTCCCCAGGCTGATGTACACCCATTGTACAAATGGTACTCCCAGCATACCAACAGGCTAACCCCGTCTCCAAAGCTCTTCAAGATACGCCAAACATACCTAATTTATGCCCAACATACTTGGCCTATATGCAACATAAATAAACACTTGTCGAATAAGGAATTTGCCTTAAAAATGGGCATTACAACTATCCCCCACTTGAATCAGAGTTTGTCCTCAAAGTCCGCCTCTACAAATAACTCTCCCATGTCCATTCTAACCCCTTTCGGTGCTCCCATTGCACTTTTGGCGATTCCACAAACTTTTTTTGAAGGGTCTTCATCCTCTTACCTAGCATCGCCACTGGCTTCTCTATATAATTCAAGTGCTCGTCCACCTGAATATCGTCCAACAGAACAATCGCGGTATCAGAAACTAAATCTTTCCGCGGTTAAGAGATATGAAATGTGTTGTGATTCTGCAAGAGCTCCTCAGGAAAATCCAATCGATAAGCAACCCTACCCACCTAGGATAAAACCCTAAAAGGACCAATATATCTAGGGTCCAACTTTATGCACTACTTGAATCAGATAACACATTTGCAAAGTGACACCTTCAGGAGCCCCATGTCCTCAACTTGGAACTCTATGTCCAACCTCCGTCGATCATCATAGCTCTTCTATCGACTATGTTTTATTTGAAGTTAGCCACAAACCTACTCAATAAGTTTTGTCCTTTTCAATACCACTTCCGTATTCCCCATCACCCGCTAACCAACCTCAAACTAACATATTGGGGTCATACACTTCCAACAATAGAGAATCTTGAAAGGAGTTCGATCAATACTAGTGCGATAAATGTTGTTGTATGAAAACTCTACCAAAGGAAGATACATATCCTAACTCCCGCCAAAATCTAATAAACATGGTCGAAGCATGTCTTCCAACCTCTAAATAGTCTAATCACTCTGACCATCAGTCTGGGGGTGAAAAGCCATGTTGAAATGTAGATGAGTATCCAGCACCTCATGATATCTCTTCCAGAACCTAGAAGTAAACCGAACATCCCTATCTAAAACAACTAAACCGACACCCTATACCATGCCATAACCTCTTGGATGTAGATGTCTGCCAACTACTCCGTAGAGATACTCTCCTTAATCGGGATAAAATACGTGTTCTTGTTTAATCCATCCTTAGTGACCCATATCGAATCCACTCTGTGCACCGTCCGTGGTAAATTCGTAATGAAGTCCATTGTGATCTTCCTATTTCTAAATGAGAATACCTAACGGCTCCATTTTTCCGTGAAGTCCATTGTGATCTCTTCCTGCAAGTCAATCACCTCTCCACATACCATGCCACATTCTGCTTCATGTAGGGCCATTAATAATCAGATTAGAGATCTTTGTATACTTTTGTTGCACATGGATGAATAGAAAACTTAGATTTATGAGCTTCTTCCATTAAGATCTGTCACACACCTCCGCAGTATGGAACCAAGACTATCTAATGAAGGGTTAACAATCCCTGATTATCATAATCAAAAGAAGCCACCTTATCCACTACCTTCTTCCATTAAGATCTGCCTCACATGTCCGTAGTATGGTACCTAGATTCTTTGATGAAGGGTTAATAAACCCTGGCTATCATAATCAAAGGAAGCCACCTGACCCACTATACACTCACTCTTTTGGTGTTCCTCCTTTATAGCCTTAACTTGATCTCTCAAATCTGCTTTAAAAGTTGGGTAATCACGGTCATCCTCAAACACATAATCCTAATTGGGGTGGTATCCGTCTTGCGGTTGAGAGCATCAACCACCACATTGTCCTTCCTCGGGTGCTAAACAATCTCACAATACTCCTTCACCACATCCAACCACCTACATTGCCTCATATTCATAGTTGGCTTATCCATCGGATACCTTAGACTCTTGTGACTGGTGTAAATATTACAACGGACCACATACAAGTAATGACGCCAAAATCATGAGGGCAAAAACCATTTCCCCTACCTCTAAATCATGTGTAGGGTAGTTCGCCTCATGAGTCTTTAACTGCCTTGAATTGTAAGTGATCACAAGACCCTATTGCATCAATACTACACCCAAACCCGTGATCGATGCATCATAGTATACCATAAAATCTTCAACACCCTTAGGCAATGTCAAAATTGGTTCCTCACACAATCTCTACCTCAGAGTCTCAAGATATGCCTATTGCTCAGTCCCCCAACAAAAGGCGATAGTTTTTTTCGTCAACCGGGTCAAAGGGACCACTATATTGGAGATATCCTAAATGAATCTCCAATAGTAACCTACCAACCCAAGGAAACGCCAAAT